CCCCCCAGGACCCCTACTTCAATGAGCCCTCCCATGAGGTCATGCGCGGCAAGAAGGAGGGCACCGCATCAAGCACACACTACAACGCAGAGGTGCGGGCGGCTGGTGATAAGCGGGGCAAGGGGGGTGTGCGGAAGATGTTTCAGTCGGGAGGAGGGGGGCCGTTATCGTGCTTTGACGGGGCCGGGGCGGGCTGCTGCGGGAGGAGTGGGCGGCGGATGAGTGGGGGTGCGGGTCGGATGGGGCTGAGAGCGATGTTTGATGGGGAGTTGGGGGTGGCCTGTGATTTGCATGTGCTGGGGCGGCAGGGACGGCACTGATTGCAATGCACGCGCCACGGCATTCAGGGTTGGGGTTTGGGGCAGTGGGTGTGCGGGCCGCGAGGGAGCCTGCGCTGTTTGTGGAGCTACTAGCTTCAACTCATGTGCGCAGGCAAAACTGACGTGCATAGAATCCACTTGGATGCGCCCCTCCCCCACTGCCCGCACACGCATGCACATCAAGGCAATCACTTGCAGGTGTGCACACACCCCCAAACACACACACACACACACACACACACACACACGCACGCACGCACGCACGCACACACCCACACTGCCAGGTGCGGCTGGCGACGCTGCGCTGGGCGATGCTGGCGCACCTGCGGCGGCCGCCGCCCGGCTTTGAGGCCGTCGTCAGGGGCCACTTCAAGTGAGGGCCCCTCCCACTGCCCCTGACCCTGCATCTTTCGGGCCGCGATTTTTCGTCACTCAGACCAGCTGCACCCGTGTACGCCCTACATTGCCTAGCACGTTCCGCTGGAATTCTTTAGTTGTTCCTTTCGCAGCCTCTCTACCCCTGAAACCCTTACTTCTCCATCGTTCAAAGGCACTTTCCCACATTCTTGGACACCGACTGCTGCCCTGCCACCCAACCCACACCAATGATGTTGCGTGACCCCTCTCCTCACTCTCTCTCTCTCTCTCTCTCTCTCTCTCTCTCTCTCTCTCTCTCTCTCTCTCTCTCTCTCTCACACACACACACACACACACA